TTTTAGTCAACGTTCATGAAATATGACTGCGTCAATAACTGACATGAGAACGCGCGCGATTGGTGTGGGGAGAGCATTTCCGAAAGATTTGCGAGATTTTTAATGTGCGAGCGAATTCTCCAAGCTACATCCTTTTGAAATTTCGCTATTCGTCACGTTGCTTCCAATTTTTTTTAGATATCGATATACTCGTCGTTTTAAGACAAAACCGTATAAATCTCAACATTGTCGACTCCTCGTGTAATAATGTAATACACGCTCGTACGCTTCACGCTAGCCGTCTGTTCACCGCGCACCGCGGAGTAACGCTAATTATACGCTATCCTCCATAATTCTCTGTTTTCTGGCCAAGTGTAGGTAGTCATTAGGACGTAGACGGCATTTACGTCGGAATACAGAACAAACTTATCCACTTAACTAAGTAACCCAATTTTCCTCGGGATCCCATCGCGCGCGGCCGTCTTCGCTTTCTCCCCGCTTCGCACTCGCGGCGTAGCGAGCAAGGGAGAAGTAAAAAACGGAACGAACGCGGCGAGGTGGGATGAGGCAAGGGTGGAAGCGATTCGAGCGGAAAGCGCTCTCGGAGCTCTCTCGTGGAGCCCTGCCTCGAGGATATTAACATTATAAATCGTCCAGGCCGGCGACACGCCCGGGGCGGAGCCGATCGTATCGGCTCGATACCTACCTCCGGACCCCGATATCGATTACACTCCGGTGATTGGCAGGATTCGTAACACGCCACGGGGAGCCCGCGGCTGGCGCGACCGTTCGATCGATCCGTTCCTCCTCGCGCGCGCATCCAGCGACGTCGAGAAACCGTGCGATGCACGCAAAGTAATGGAAAGAGGACGACCAGTTCTGGATCGCGAATCTATCTATCGCTATACGCGAGCGAGACTCGGAATGAGCTGATCTCGACGAACGCCGAGAGTGATAATGATATATCGTGCCGCGTTAATCACGAGGATTTATGTCAGAGATTTCTTAGAGATTTTTTTAGTAAAATTATATTAAATATATATATATATATACATATATATATATTTTTTTTTGTGTATATTTTATATAACGAAATGAATTTTTCTAGAGTATCTAAAAATTTAACCAAAGACAGATGAAAATAATTTTATTGGACTATCAAAATAACTATGTAGAATATAAATATTTTTAAATTAATTGTTAGAATATTAAATTAATTGTTAGAATATTAAAAATTTTTATATTATATTTTGTTTAGATGTGCCATATAATTATTTTCATAGTCCAACAAAATTATTTTTAAATCTGATCTTAAATTTTGCTTTTAGTGAAACTGCTTTTTCCACGTATCGATTATCAAATACTATAGAAATTATTCAACTAATAATGATTTCAGTGATTTTATTTCGTTTTATATTATACTTAGCTGCTGTCGTTGTGTCAAATGTGTATAATGTACATTTTATAAAAGTAATTCGTCGATAAATGATTGTAAAAGTATAATATAAAAATTAAAATCAATAAATTTTATTTTATTTTTATTGTATATAAAAGCTTACATATATGGCTGCAGTTTCTTTCAAAGTTGTACGGAATGATTTTATTGATAATAATTATACATGGTACGAAAGAGTTTCAGCGCCAAGAGGACTTGACAGGTGTCCGCAATCGCTATTAAATACATTTCCATTCGAGATCCATCGTGGCTTCGAGTCGAGCCGCGCTCGCGGGCGCCGTTAAAATCCGAATCCGAAGGATCGTAAAAATATCGCCTTCCTTCCCTTTCCCGAAGAAGACCGGTGAAAACGCCGGCGGATATCGTGAAAAGTGCGCACCGGCGATCAACGACGGAGATAATTTATTGGGAAGTCGAAAAAGGTGCTTATATCGCGCGCGCGTCACCGTTCGACTCTCGAGAAACCTCCTCTGGGTCTTCGCCTTTCACCATTTTTATTGATACTAAATGTGAAAACTCGTCACCCTACCGGCGACATCTTCGCTGCGAAGATCCTGTTCGAAGTGGCGCGTAGGGGATATACCTTAATGTAGCGAGGCTGGGCGATACCGAGTGAAATCGCGGCGGATCACGCGGGCGCACGCGGGGTCAGGTTACAGCATCGATAATCCTGACGTTAACTGTCGAAATGTCGTCGATGTCACGCGAAATTCGCGCCGCACCTCGTCGCGAAGACGGTTTTACGGCCGGTCGCGCACGCTGCCGCCGGCGAACGCGCAAAGCCAATGGTGGAAGCTAACTAATTGCGAATATGTGCATACGATACTTCTCACGTGAAACTCTGTCTCGTGTCCCTTTTGTCGTCTTCGCTTATCACTTGATTGCTTGACCTTCTTAGTTACTGCCTTCCCAAAATGCCAACCGCTATTTCCTCGTCTATTTTCACTTTCATGAAAACCTTCTCGATTCACTCCTCTAGCAAAATCTATTTTACATTGGCATTTTTTGAATTCTGTACAATCTATGATCGATGATAGATCTATGATCTACAACAGAATGGTATTCCTTAATTTACAAATAATAAAAAGTATACTGTCTTTCTTGCGCTTTTTTGAAAATTTATTTAATAATTTTATTTAATATATTTAAATCAATTTATAAGACTAAAATTTTTCAGTATAATTAACGTTTGTTTTATATTTTATATAAATCAATTTCCGCATACTGTAGATATTTAATTCTCCTCGGGGCTAATCGCATGCGCATATCACGCAGACTTGAAGAGTTTCCTCGCCGGGATGCGTCGCGACGATCGATTTTACGATCGGACGTGACACATCACGCTCCGGCATGAAAAATTTCGCATCGTTTCTCGTTCGTGATAACTGCCGCGCAGAAATTGCGTCCGAGATCGTTGGGTTTCGTTGAACAATGGGCGGACAGTTCTGGAGGAACTGTGTCAAAGTGCTCTTTTATTGGGCCGTATTTCACCGAGCCGATACTCTTGAAACCGCACTCGATGCGTAACGATCCGTTGGAATTGCTATTCACAGCCGCTACCACCGATCAGGAGCATCAATGTGTCGCGACTCGAATGTCGTCGCCAATTGTTGCCATCGATCGCTCTCGTGTCTCCACGATCGGATGAGAATCGCTCGCAACGTTCACTTCGACCCGGTCGTGCCATTGCCAATCACCTCGAAGAGCGCGGGGAAGAGCGTTCTTCGCGCTGATTTTCTTGCACCACGATCGCTTCACGTTATTGAAGAATGCATTGAAGAGTACACGGTTTCCTCGTTTATCTCAGACAAATACGCTACTGCAATTTGCAGAATCGTCTACAATTCACTCCATTTAACTTGCGTTTTCTGGATAAATTATGCATACATTTGACTTTTAGCCGTATTATTCGTATATTTGAAAAGAAAAAAGATATAAAGAGATGAGGTGAGGGATATAATACAAGTTCACGTTGCACGTTGCATGCAACAGTATCTTGATATTTTTTATCCATCAATTCAATCACTTTCGAGGTAACACACTTCCTTCGTGGTTGATTTTACTTTACTCCTCACGGGTACGTATCGCGCTTCGTGTTTACACACAATGTCGGGAGGTACTTCAGAATCTGCAGAAGGCCATACGCACCACGTAAGTGTGCACATACGAATTGAGGCGTTTATTAATACAACTCTTTAACTCCGAGGATGTGCATTAATTGTCCGGTGAAGTTCCAGTTAATGGTAATGCCCGTTGGGTCTTCCCCAAAGGCAGCCTCTCGGAGCGCGAGATGTGATGCGCGGGCGCGATAACGGCGCGAGAAGTCGCGCGGCGAAAGAAGAGCTCGGCTCGCTCGTCTCGACTCGTCTCGGAACGTCACGCGGGAACCTAGAAGGTATGGGAATGCGAGTGTGGGCACGTCGCGTCATAACTCCGTGAGCGCCGTAAATCAAGGTGGACGCCTCGTGCACCCATAGAAACGGTTGTATTCGGCCATAACGGCGCGTACCCACCGCGACGACGACGAGGCTATATTTTAATGGTAACGATAAATTACTTACGAGAAGAGAATCGCGCGTCGCGCGCGGAGATGGCGGCGATGAAACCCTCACGCGGCGAGGCCGCGATCCTCCTGTCCTTCTCGTCTCTCTTTTCGCGGGCGAGCCTCTTCCTCACGCGGGCGAGAGAGCGAGCGAGTGAGAAAGAGAGAAAGAGATAGAGAGATAGAGAGCGCGGGACGCTGCCATTGATCGCGATCCGACGTGTCGGCGCGCGAGAGAATTACTTTGACTCCGGCGCGGTCTACTGGAATCGCGATAACGTACGATCCGCGGATCGCCGAGATGAAATATTAACTCGTACGGAGGCCACCTCGATATCCAGCCTCTCGGCAGCGAGAGTAATTTGCTCGCGCGGGGAATAGGGAAAATTTATACTAGACGTGTACTCATCACGCGAGATTACGCCCGCGTAAGTACCTAGCGAGCTCTTGGCGGTAATCGCGCAAGCTCTTATCCGGCGTTATCTGTCGTTGCCGCGGCAGAAGAACGACATTCGAGCACCGAATCTGCGAGGAACGCCGTTGTAACATGTTGCCCGCGACGTTTTAGAATACGACTCGTCCTCCCGCCTGCACTAATCCCTCATCCCTTTATCTCCGCGGTCACTTTGCAGGATTTCGCTTTTAGATATCGGCCTGGGTGTGCGGCGACGACGCGAAGATTAATGCTCGTCTCTCCACGTTCCTCATTAATACACCGCGCAATCGTACGTGCGTACACTAGTGAGTTACATTATGATAACAGAATAGATTTCAATGTAATATCCGCGATGCGGCGCCCGTGTAGAATAATGTAATTTCTCTGTATGCTGCAATAGATTTGATACTGTGATAATCTATCGCTTAATTTAACGATAATTTACGTGTTGAATATCTAAAATTATCGCAGATATAATTCAGATATATAATTTAAATATCTGAAAGCGATCTTTTTCTTACATTTGTCTTACATTGACAAAAACAAATGCTGTACATATAAATAATATATTTGAATACTTGAGCTTGGGAAAATAAGAATATAAAAGTTTGCACTCGTGAATTTAACACTTAAATACTCAATGCAAAGATATAAATAGACGATTAATGTTCTTACAGATTTAATTAGATCTTCTTGTATCCATGAGTCATCGTCATCGCAGCTACCGAACACTTAACCGGATCACAGCTCTGACCTCCTGAAACCAAAGTTGCGCAAGCCGCGCTAACTGCTCGCGAGCGGATCGCCCACGCAGCATGCAAGGTGGTCCGAGCACTTGAGATCTTCGGGTCTCGGTCTCTGGACACTTTTATGCCTCCGACGACGAGCGACGACGACATCACCGAGCACCTTCCTCACGTGGCGTGGGCGACTCATGGGAACTTATAACTGCTCGTTCAGCTCGTCGTCGTTTTCTGAATGCTCGGTTGCTCGCATTTCAGTAACACGCACCTCCCAGCGTGCTCGTCTATCAAATATTACCAGTTTATCAGAAATAAATTATAAAAATTATTATTCAAATTCACAATTTATAAAAATATTTGTAAAACACAAAATTTATAAAAGAAAGTTAGAGAAATATTTTAAAGTTATTATTATTTTTTTTTATAATTTGTTTTCCACTATTAATATTTTTAAAATGTTCCATTTCGTATAATTTCCATATCTTCTAATGGCTAAAAATCTAATTATCTAAGACTTATTGTTCGCTGAATCGCGATTTTCTCGGTTTAGCGACGACCCGGGCAATTCAGCCGCGTCGAGGAGCACCGTAGACGTGATTTTCGTTCGTGAGACACGTGGCTGTAATATTGAGGGATTTATCGTTGTAAGGAATGCGGCGCAAGGTGGTACGCGAAGGAGAAAGAGAATAAGACGCCAGTTTATGCGAGGTCGGAGAGCGAGGGAAGAGACAAGACGAATCTCTGTCTCGCACTTGGAGCGTATCTATATACGCTCATCGTTGTCTTTCCTCATACTTCGCGATGATGCTTTCCTAGCTTCATCTCTCTTGTCCCTTTTTCTGGCTTTCCCCTCTTTCTCTCCATCTGTCTCTCTTTCTCTCTTTTTCTCTCTCTCTCTTTTATCGCTACTCGCGTAGCTGCTCGTACACACGTCGCGCGAGTACACACGCGAGTGGTGTACGTAATATCGCCGAGGCCCGAGCGTATAAAACGCGTCTTTGTGCGCTCGGGCCAGCTGTTTGTCTAACACCTCGTACCTGCCCGGGGTCAGTGGCGATTCTGTTACGAGCCCCGGGAACGTCAGTCGTTCGATCCACGAACCTGGGGTCAATCGCCTGGAAGATCGATGTCATCGATTCTGAAAGCGCTCGCGTATACGCGACATCGCGGTGGATCATCAGAATGTCTTGAAGCTTTTCAACTTGCGTCTAATTAATTAAAGGTACTCGACGAAGGAGAGGAAGGACTTGGTACCCAAGTAGAAAACAAATCAGAAACCAGTCAGAAACTGGCCAAGAATTCTGGTTAGCCAGTTTGATTGGTTAGGATTCTGATCAGTTTGGGTGACGTCTGCTTGGTTAGTAACTGGATAAAATTGATTAATATTTACTGATCAGTTATGTCTGACTAATTTCTGACTAGTTATTAATCAGAAAAGCTAGTCAGAATATTTCGAGAATATTTTATTGGCCAGAAACTGGCTAATATTTACTGGTTAGTTTGATTCGGCTAGTTTTTAAATAGTTTTTTAAATAGTTTCTGACTAGTTGCTGACTAGTATTATCTAACAAAAATTTTCTGATCAAAATTGTTGGATAGTTACTGTCCAGTAAATTCAAAAGAAATAAAAACTAGCTAGTTTCTAGTGAGTAATCAGTTCTTCTAATTTTTATACTTGGATAATTGATGCAATTTTAATACAGCTTTGTTCTAATTTTTCTATAAATGTACTTATTGCAAAAGTATGATGTTTGTTGCAATTTCTTATACATTTTTATTTTTTTTCTTTTAATTATATAATCAATAATCTATTCTACTCCATGCGCTTAAGAATACTTGAGATATGCTGTGCCTTGGACACAACGTCAACAGCCAACAAATTCGATCTGGATTCTATGTCGTATACTGTGGGCAGAAAAAAAGTTGATCGAAAGTAATAAATATGTCGTAGATTAGTAGAGGACTACGGGACGCCGTGATTGATATTCGCACAGGTTTTCTTTGCTGGTGCCGCTAATAATTTATCCGGTGAACGGTGGCCAGCGTCCGCTTCTTGCACGTCTATCGAACGTTTTGGACTCTTGTGATCCGATACTTACGTTCGTCGCCGAGCGAATGTTTTACGGGTGGAAGCGCTTTGTGTGGTCCTCGTGTCAAAATATGTCAAAACTTAAGTTTGTCTCGCGACATCAAGTAAAAAGCGGTTCAGTGACCCTACAAATTAACGGACTGTCCTGATGAGAGACACATCTACGTTTTACGGACAAGAACAAGAAAGAGAGAGAGAAAAAGAAAGAGAATAGGAGAAATGAATAAATCCTTCAGAATTTGATTTGAAAATATCGACAACATCGAGAAACGTTGAGCGTCGATTAAACGATTGCAGTGTTGCAGCAAATTTTAATTTTATCGTTTTATATTCATTTTCTATCATCATCTACAAAGTGTTACTTAAGCACGAGTGCAGATAACGATCGAGAAGAATGCAATCTAAATAAAACTTGGTATTTCAACTGCGATGTTCTCAACGGAAAAGAAAAACCTATTTCTGTTGAGGACGGGAAGACTCGCGTCATACAGCTCCGAGCGAGAATACTCGGCGATTCGCTTCCTAGCTCCTCTCGTCCTTCCTACGTCGCATATGAACGACTCCTCTTTTACATTTACGACGATCGAACGGATCGAGAGGCGACCGTCCTTGGTAATTACGGTCGCGCTACCGCGCGCACGAACGCGAGAAATAATACACCGGGGAATTGTAACTCGCGGGGCTTACGGACCGCGAGTAGTAAAAGTTTACACTGCCATTGCGTCGGAGATAAATTTTCTTTTTCATTTTCCTATGGTTCTTATGCAAACGTCCGTCTTGTCTAATATCGTTTATTATGAACAATGGCGCGAGGATAATCGTGCGAGCGAACGGATTAGATATGCAATATTTTCTTAGTAATTGCAGTGAGTGCTGGAATAATTCTTTATGGTTCGCAGCTGTCCGACGAGAAGATATATTTCCCTGCGTGTTTCTCGTCAACTTTTAAAACAGCGCTACGTTACGTGGACGATGACGACGTCGACGATGATGTATCAGCCGAATGAAGTGAAAAAATTGCGAAAACTGACCATTTAATTGGTCCGTGGCGTAATTGATGTTATATTACATTCTCTGTAGCGAGTGCTTTACGATCGCGATTTACAGTTAAATGTGCGCGTGGAAATTTTCGAATGTGACGTGTGCGAATAAAATTAACTCACGAAAGGTGCATAAACATCAAAGAAGGTGGATATGAAGATTGCGGATGTTTGACACATAGGCGTGAATGGAAACTAAGCTATCGCCAACAACAACATGTTAGACATTCCAGATATAAGTGCTAAAAAAGATACTGCATTAGAGATGATTCAGCTTCAACAATTGTTGTTGCAAGATTTCGTCGTGATTGCTTTATGTAGCAGTTTAATAAATAAATAACAATGGAGAATTTGAGAAGAAAAATGTGTGTTTAACCGTAACTTGTTTTTTTTTTTTTTTTTTTTACGAGAATCAATTCCTCTTTCGAGACCAGTATGAAAAAGACGCCCCTTTCCCGCCCTCATGTCGTATCCCCATACTTTCGGTCGCCTCTGATTGAGATAAAATCGCGGCTTTAACTCGCGGCGAACGGAGGAGGATCGCTCGATAGAATCGAATGCTTGATTTTCTATGGGATAGGATGCAACTATTGTGCGTGGCACTGAATGCGCGATCGTGTACGTGTAAATGGATCCAATTGCGAGACAGTTTGCGTTCTCAGTCGTCGCGCAAAACGTTTACCCATAGATTTCCACCGATAAAGTCATGCCTTCACATCTTGCACAATCGTGCCAGCTAGATACATCCGCTTGTCGAATTCGTTCAGAGGTCGCGATATTTTTCCAACAAGAAAATTCGATCTTTTTTCTTTCCACGGACACGCATATTGCAGCAATAAGCATTGAAATACCTATATACAGAATGTAAATATATTCATTACAAAGAAAACACATGTTTTCTAAAAAATTATAAACTTTTAACTTTTAAGTTTAAGTTTAAGTTAAAGTTTAAAACTTAAACTTTAACTATATTAAATTTAGCTGTTAACTTTTAACTTTTTCTTCAGGTTTATTTATTTATAGAAAAGATATTATTTACTTTAAAGCTTTTTTTCCATGATGCTGATTAATTGCTGATATATTTGTGACTAGTTATTGGTCAGAAAATAGCAACCAGAAAAATCTAAGTTTTACTTGATAGAAATTAGTTAATATTTATTGATCAGCTTAATCTGGTTAATTTCTGACTTGTTAGGCAAAATATAGTGAGAATTTTATTGGCCAAAAACTAGCTAGCATTTACTGGTTAATTTGACTTGGCTAGTTTGTGGATAGTTTCTGGGTAGTTTCTTTAGTTGCTGACCAGCATTATCTAACGACAATTTTCTGATCAGTTATTGGATAATTAACGCGATCGAAGATACACGGCGTATTGATGCCAACATTTAATTATAACGCAATCCTGCATACGTACGTAAGGAATACGCACGAAGAAAAATACTAAGCAACGAAAGCCACGTAAGCCGCAGAGCAATCTAGAACGAACAGCAAGAGATCGTATGACGGTCAACGACGTTGTACCGTATGTACCGTACAGTACACTTACAATATAGGATATTCAACGATCATCGAAGTATCCGTTGTCCGTGATACTCGCAAGTTCCTCGCCAACGTTTTAATCACTTTTGTACCCTTATCGTCCAAGAATACTTACCTACCGAATCTTGTCTGTACTAGAGCAAAAATTTGAAAAAAAATATATAATTTTAATTTTAATTTTCTTTTTCCATAATTACCATTTGTTCATGAGCATGTAAATTGCATGCGCGTTTATTAACAATCACGTCGATCTTGTTTAATTAAGACGTGAGCGCAAAAAGCGCTTCCCGTTTTACGTGCCGCGTGCCGGTGGATTATTTTTAGAATGCTAATTGAAAATTAACTGGTCGCCGGCTCGGGTCAGCGGAAACCGCTAGAACGTATTGCCGACGCAGCCGGCGATATACAATAGATGCGCGGCCATAATCCGCCACGCCACGCTGGCGGCTTCCGTACGCTGAATCCCGACAAACTGCGTCGAGATCGTTATTACAGCGGCGAATGGGACGACCGCACGCACGTCGGAACAGGACAAAAAGCCGTTTTCACGTAAAACGATCGGCGTTGCTCGGCTTTCCGTCGTAAAATAGCGCCCACACGCTCGGATGCGCCTCGTGCGCATGCGCAAGCGGCGATCGGCAACAACGTGAGAATGCCGTGTGACGATAAAAGTTACGCTCGTGAATTTTACGTTCCGCGTGTCCCCAATCTCGCAGCGTGCGGAGAGAAAGAGAGAGAGAGGGGAGAGAGAGAGAGAAGAGAGAGAGAGAGAAGAGAGAGCGTCAGCGACGCGCTCATCCATGTATTACGAATACGAGCGCGGCCGTCGCAAACGCTGCCGCTTCATTTCCCAAAATTCGCAGACGACGATTCCGGGTCGCGCGAGGACCTGGCAAATTTATGGCGACGATAAAATGGTATCTTTGATCGATCATACGGTTGACGGTCACATAACAGTATATTATTTATAACGAGTATATATCATTCCCAGTGAATTCTACTTTTGATGTGTTGTAACATAAAACGTAAGCAAAAATTCAAATTGCAATAAATTTTATTGTTTCTACTTGCTCTAAATTAATTTAAAGGTCGAGATATAGAAATATTTGGTATTCTAATTATTGCAGAAAATATTATATAGCCGAGACCTGTTGAGAAACTAAATAAACAGACATTCGTCGTGAAAGCAGAAAGTAATTGAGAATTAATGAGATTTCTAACCAGAATCGAAGAAGGAAAGGAGAGATATTATATGCTAAACTATATAAAATCATTAAAAAGTCTTAAATTTTTAATCTTAAAGTTTTCTAAAGCAATCATTACTTATCTAAAGCGGCATTATACAGCGGCGTTACATTAATCAGCCGACCGATAGATTTTCGTTCCTGAGGCGCATTCCTGAGATAAACGGGTCGAAATGCGTTCAATCGCATCACGATTACACATAAATTGTTTACATTTCACGGAATTCCAGCTCGATAAATTTGGATTTTTGTGTGGGGACGAAATATAGTACCGACTATTCAATCGGTACAGTGCAGGTCGCGCAGGATACCATGCACGCACGCTATTCGTTAAAGTTTACAAGAAAACTGGTCCATTCAAGAGTCAACTTCACTGAATTATATCTCGCCACGGATTCGCATGGGCCAGCTGTGTCGGGCGAATTTATGCGTGTCCAAAAATTCTGCCGCAAACGGCACAATGTAGCATCGTTTCAATATGATAATAAAAAATATTAAACACCCAAATATTCAACACTTCTTATCTTTTACTTCTAAATATATAAATAAATTACTATTACAATTTCTTATCAATCACACATCATTTGATGCATGATTATTACATGACAAATTGTCATTGGTTTAACTATCGTAGGTACTGTGGTTACGGATAATTTTGAGATATTGATCAAAGTGATGAATAAATTGTATAAATATCGAGGTTTTTTTCTCCCTTACACCTTTTCCGGAACATTATCGTGTCACTCTTAGCAAGAAGCCGGCGAGAGTCGCATACGCGCCAGGATTATACGACAGATTCTTCGGCGGAGCATACGGTAACGAGAGAAGACTCGACGAGGGGCTCGACGGGAGAGGGAGCGTAAAAGGAGGGAAAAGTTGGGAGGAGGGAAACAGAGAACGCGAAGTAAGACGCGAGCTTCTCTGCGAAGAAACGATTACCGATGACTTACGTATGCAGGCAATCTCGTTGCGCGTTGCGCGTTTGCGCAATTATTGGAACACCTCGTGTGTCCGTAATAAATAACGGAATATGCCCTGAAAGGTGTTAGTTCAAGATCACCCGGCGATACACTGGAGACGCCGCACTACGCTATCGCGGCCAGATTTCATCACCGTGGCGACGACGTCGATTCATCCGCGGCTACCTTACAGACACTGTATTTATGTAATCGCAGCGCGGAACATTAAGGCTACTCTCGATCGAGAAAAATCGTACACTTATCTACCCTCTATTCTCTGTTCCGTTCCCGGATCGACGTCGCGCGTAAAAGCGGCTCGATCAGCGCTTTGATCTTCCATACGTTCACAGTTCTCCTCCTTCGCCTTCGAGATTCCGCGCGGACTCGCGAAAGGTCGGAGATCCCGCGTTCGCGCTTCGACATCCACTCGGGATTACGTTTTACGCAATTATGCGTGCCGTAATGCGACTCGAAATTAAATTACGCGCAACGCGTTGCAAAATATATGATGTAGCTCGTCGATCGTTCGGCTCATCGACGAACAGCGAGCCTTGATCTTAAGCGCGGTGGGCGTAATATTACTGTCTTCACTCACTTGCCTCTATTCGCTTCTCTCGTTCTACAGTCTGGAATTTCGAGGTATGACCTCGAGTAGACACATCAGGGTCTTCACAGAACTTTCTACTTCGATATACCAAATCAGACTCTGTAATAGATCATTTAGAATTACCGAAGATGGAACAGCGAAAGAAGTCGCTAATTGTAAATTCTAAATTAGATTTAAATATTTCAAAATTTTAAAAAGTAATAAAATTATAAATGAAAAATTAAATATTTTATGCAATAGTTTTTCAAATTACAATATTTTGTGTAAGCATTGTATATTATATATGCACTTATAAATTGTATCCGTGTATTCTATTTCAATAAATAAAAAAGACACCTTGTAAAAATATCGGTCGACAGACCTTTCTTTCTTCCCTTCCTTTTCTCGATATTTCTCTGTTTTCCGCGCACAAGCTTCGCTCGTTGACTACCGCCGTCTGGGATTTCAATGCGCCGTGACGTGGGAGTAATTGCGACACGCATACGCGTGCATGCATACGCACACGTACGCGCAATCCCGTCTTCGACCTTGCGCTCGTCTTCCTTGTAAGGCGCAATCGAGCGCTTTGTGCCTACGATCAATTACGAGAGATATCCACTTTTGTCGCTCTCGTTGCCTAACGATGTGGCCCAATTAAGGTACGGCCGTTAATGTCGCCATTCGTTCTGCGACCCGAGACTTTTTCTTGCCTTGTCTCGCCCAAGCTTCGAGCCGACCTCCTCGTCTTCTTGCATAAAGATTATGAAATTTTATGCCTCGTGCCTCGATCGTAATAAATTATGGGGAATTTATGTGTATTGATAAAATTGTCGTTTTTTTTTTTCAAAATTTTTTATATCCTTTTTTATATTCTTTGTAAAAATTCATACGTATATAAGTCCGATAGAATAAGAAGGAAACGATCTTACAGCTCGGTGTTAACGTCCCACATTTAATGTTAAACGCGATCGTATAATCCGCGGCCCACGCTTATCATAGGATCTTCGTATCGGACAAACGCAACTTTGTTATAATCGGACGGCTAAACTGTGGACTGTAAATAAGGATCGTGATCTTTCTTTGAGCTGCCATGCGTATATATATATACGCTCGAGAAAATCCTATCCCACGCTGGATCTCTCCGGCTCGGTCGCGTTCGGGGAAAAGGAGTCCGCGCGCGGCGATCTGCGATCGCGTCCACGTACGTCGCGCGGAGGAGGATCGCGCTCGTGGTGTATCCTGAAGCCGAAGATGATCACTCGTGAGTGAGAGGACGGACCCGTCCTTGTCTACTGCCTCGGCACGACGCATACATCACGGCGACGGCCAGGCCAGGCTCTCTCAAGATCAGGCGTTCTCGCGTGTGACCACACATGTGTAATTCCAATTAACATTGCAGCGCGCGCGTACGTACATACGTAAAGGCTTGCGTTACAT